AGACAAGACCCTAAAGCTTGAAGCCCTAAACCTTCCAGGAGGAAAACGCATTAGAAGTGTTCAGATCCATTCCACACTATGAACAATACCTTCCTGTTCTTTGTCTCTCCCCTGCACTGTACCTGTTTCTGTCAAGGTCACAGATGTGTCTCAGTGACCTTCAATGGCCATCACACAGCCATCTGAAGAGACCCTAGCTGCTGCCTCTCCCTACCCAGCTGGTGCGGTCTTCGACAAGGGAAAGAATGGACCGCCTTCGTGTGTGCATTTTATTTTATAGCAACGTAAAACTGTTCCTCTCCTCTCTCCAGTTCTGTGACAATCACTTGGGATCAAAGTAACTGTAGCTGTATTTTCCCATTCCCAGAGCTCCAGGACCTCTCCAGGCTATGCCACCAATAATTCGACAAATCCTCAACACCAGCGCATGCCCAGCCCAGCGTCCCTCCTTCTGGGCCAGTGACCTCAAAAGGACGGGTCTTTGAGGAGCCACTCTGGCACTGAGTCAGCTCAGGCATCGCAGAGCACCGGACAGCAGAGGTAATCCTCTCTAAATCCAGACACCGCACCGGGGACCGGCGACCTGGGTGGGAGCCCAGGCTCAGACACCAACAGAGCCCCTCCCCTTCCCCACGTGTCCCAGCGGTTGCCCAAGAAAGTCTTTTCAGCCTTGTGGGCGGCGGCCGCATTTCCAAGGAATAAGAGGAGCAGGCAGGCGGGGCAGATGGAAGTAATTACCGGCGGGAAAGAGGAGAGGCGCAGGGTTGGGAGGGGCCTGCAGGGAAGGAGAGAGGGAGGGAGGGGAGCCCTGGCCTGCTCCACTGAAAGGGATGAGAAGCCCAACTAGACATAGGTTCTGGCAGCATAGAGAGGCCTGGATTTGTAGTCCTCCTTTGATACTAAATCACCATGACCTTGACGTCTTTCTTTTATATATATCTGATGGGACTGGTTAAGATTAACTCCAGCTCAGAAGTGGAGAAAACAGGGCTGAAAAGTGCAGGCTGGGGAAACACACTCAGTCCCAGCCTCACAGTTCATGAGTGGTGTGTGACCTTGGTGGAGTAACTGTCGCCTTACCCAGCCTGTTTCATTTACAAATGGGCTTTGTCTACAACGAGGCTTGCAAGAGGTAACACAAAGTGTACTACCAAGCTCTCCCTCCCCCGTCCTCTTTTTCAGTTTTCCGTTAGAGTGCGTCCTCACGTGCGTGCTCGTGTGGCTGTGGACACACACCACGGTGTATACATGCAGATCAAAGGACGATCTCAGCCTTTCACCTTGTTTGAAACAAGGACGCCTTGTTGTTCACACGGCATATGCCAAGACAGCTGGCCCTCAAGCTTCCAGTGAGTCTCCATCTCCCACCTCACCATAAAAGCCCTGGGATTACAGAGGGATACTATGCAGTCTGGCCTCCTCCACGTCTTGGGGACTCACTCAGACCCTTATGTAGCAAGTGCTTTACCCACCGAGGCATCTTGCTAGCCCTAATAAACTGTCTGAGTCAAACTCATGTAATCCAGGCTGGCCTCCAGCCTTTGAACTCCTGGTCCTCCTGCCTCCACCTCTGAAATACTAGGAGAACATGGATGAACCACCATGCCTAGCCCTACGTCCCTTCTTTATTCTAAGAGTATGCTTTGATGGCATAGGACAGAGGGTAGACCGTGGGTACAAGTGGCACTCTATAGCAGTTGGAGAACTCATACCTGGAAGAAGACTTGGGTCCAAAGCAGAAATAGTGTGTGTGTGGGCCCAGCAGGAAAGGACTCTCCTCAAGCTCCAACTGTCCTCGGGCTTCCTCACATTCACTGAGCACCTCACCTCAGACTGAGCTGTAGCATCCTCCCCACCACCCCCCAGAACAGATCCAAGGTCTTCACAATGGAGACAGTCACATCTACCTTCTGCAGGGCAGCTTTGAGGATCGGGTAGGGAGAGCTGCGCTTGTGAACACCCATATCCTGAAAGCCACAGTCCTTGGGTAGATTCCAGACCAGGCTCTGGCTGAGACTTGGGTACTCCTTGAGGCCACGTGGGACCACTACCTCTACCTGCATTAGTCAGACACATCTCAGGACTGTAGACGGTATGGAGGGTTGGGGGACACTCTCCGTCTCCTGGGGTGGGGGTGGGAGGCTGAACATTCTCAGATGTTTTGGAGCTTTTCTGGCAAATGCTAACAAAAGGATGTGTAGGCTAATGACTACTGCCATGTCCTAGCCATTTCCTTGTGGAAACTAACAACTTTGGGTCGGAGGCAGGGATCTTTAGGAAGAAGGAGGATCCTAAGGGCTAGAGCAAAGAGAAACAGGAGCTAAGCTGTGAGGCACCAGTTCATTTCAGGGAAGTGGCTGGATCGGTGTAAAGGGACTCAACACTGGGGAGTGGAGCAGGTAGTGAGAACCCCACTTGCCCTGCCCTCTGATGTCCAAATCTGCCTCCTAAGGGCTGCAGCTCCACCTTGATCAAAATCAGTAGGTTCAGCCTTCTCAGGGCCCCATGCTCCCCCCCCCCCCGCCTTGAACCTGACAGCTTGCAATTGCTGGATTAATACAATGAATATAACTGTCTCGTATTATCTGTAGTGGTGTCCTCCCTCCAATGCAGGGTGTAAACTTTGAACCGTGACAGCGGGAGTTCTTACTTCATTGGGTGGCCTTGGGACAGATACTCTGAGGAGAGAACAGAGGCCTGGAGTAACCTTCAGAGCAGGGGCAGATGCCAACCCGGTGGAGTATCCGCAGACTGGCCATGCCTCATGAGGGTGCTATGAAGAGGGACTGACCTCTGTTCCCCCATACTCAGGGAAGAAAGGAGGTCCTTTCCACGATTTCTGATGCTTCCAGAAAGGGGCAGATTCTTAGTTCTACCCGGAAAACGAAATCCTATGACGCCAAAACAGCTGGCAGGGTAGAGGGGGCAAGGCGCTTTTGTGGGTGAGTCACTGGTTCAGGGAAGGGAGTAAGAGAGGGAAGAGAAGAGGGCCTAGAAGGCACTGGGGGCTTCCTCACTCTGGGACTCCACCCCTAATGGAATGGAGGCGTTCTGTCTCTGTGCAGTGACCCACTCCCAAGCTATGTCCTCCAGTTTAAAGCCTAAGCAAGCAACTTTTAGAAAATGTGTATGTGTGTCCTGCCTGCGTGTACTATATGTATGTGTACCACATGCATGCCCGAGCCGGTGGCAGCCAGAAGAGGGTGTCGGATCCCCTGGAACTGGAATTAGCCACTCTATGGGTACTTGGGAATTGACTCTGGGTCCCTTGTGAAACCACTCAGTGGTCTTAACTACTGAGCTATCCTGGAGAGATCTAATCCCGGAATAACCTTAAAGAATAAACCCAGAAGGGGGTTATTAAGACAGGGTCTCATGTAGCTCAGGTTGGCCTCAAACTCCATACAGAACACAAGATGACCTTGGATGATGGTATAACCATCGAAGTGCTGGTATAACATCTCCCGAGTGCTGGGATTATAGGTAGGTACCACCACAGTAAGTTTAGACAATGTACAAGATCAAACTCAAAGAGTTTAAGACAGGTAAGCACTTTACCAACTGCATTCCTTACGTCCCCCCACCCCAACCCCCAGTATTGAGACTGTAGGGATTGTAGGCAGAGAGGTCTACCACTAAGTCACACCCCCAGTCCCTAATTTTCTTTTATGACTTCTGTCTACAACCCTCTGTCTCCATTGTCACCTTGAAATCTTTGGGGGCTGGCCCCAACTCCAGGCTTGCTGTAGTGGAGTTGGGGGTTGGAGGGTTGGTAAAGGTGAAATGAGTGGGAGGTGAAGGTCCAGGGTTCACTAAGCAGCCAAACATGCCTCCCCCTATGCAACAGGGCAGTCCATAAGGGATGTTCAGAGTAGGGCAGAGGCAGAATAAATTTGAGGAAGCTTAGCAGAGCCAGCTTTCTCAAGGGATGTTTACAGACCAATTCCCAACTGGGCAAAACATATCCAGTTATTTCCCAGGCCCTCAGTGACTGGCACCTCCTAGGTAGCACTCTAGGAGTGCCTGGGAAAGTTATAGATGGAGTTTCAATAGCAAACTCAGAACTCTTCCTGGGTGCCTCTGATACTTACACATAACATTTACAACCTCCTGGATCGAGGCCTGGAGGGGCCACGTGGGATCTGGAGAACTGACCCTGCCCTGTGGTATAGGTCCGTGCCCCTTGTGACAGACAACCAACACTGTGGCACTGTTCACACCTAGCCTAGCCTGCAGTAGTAGACTTCTAGCCCGGCCCTGGGGATCTAGCCAAGAGGTCAGAGAACACAGTAGATCAGGCTCATAGACCTGAAAGTCTACGTCTCAAACTGAAAATGGCAGTGGTACAAGACACGTTGGCATCTCGGGGCTGCCCACAGGTCCCAGCCAGCAAGGGTCTCAGAGAGGCACCTAGAACAGACATGACAAGGGTTCTGTCCCCAGCTCTAAGTCAACTTCTCAGTCCTGTCCTATTCCTTCTCACTGTCCACAAGCCACACAACTTTGAAACACAGTTGCATAGGCCCAAAGACCCCCTGATTCCTTGAACACGGCCACCCTGCAATTGGCAAGCCCACCTTTTGGGCTTTGCTCAGCGACCTTGCGACTCCAGCACACAGGCAGACCCTGCAAAACTTGTCACCTCTAGCAAAGCCAGCCTACATGTCCTGGACTTCGGAGGATGCTAGAAATGGTAGTCACCTATTCAACCAGGGCGCAAGAACGACAGGGGTGGGGGGCTAGAAACTTTCCGGAGGATTGTTCTGCTCACTCACTCCTAGAGAGCGAGACAAACCAGGCTTCCCGCGAAAATCTAGTCCAGGAAAAGGGACCCAGCTCCCCAGGGCTGTGGCCACCCTACACCAACCCCGTGCAGCGTGGCGTCCACGTGCCGGGCCCCGACCACCTCCCCGAGCCGTGGCGGGAGGCTGGAGCCTCGCAGCCCCGTCGCTCCCCGCCCTCCGCCGCGGGGCCCCAGAGCCCGGCCGCCGCGTACTCACCCTCGCGGGTGGAGCGGGGCGGGGCGAGGTAAATCCGCGCGCAGCTCCGATCCGTTAGGCGCCCCGACTGGCGGGGCAGCACTGGCGCAGTGGCTCCGCTCGGCCCGGTCCCTGTCCCGGGAGCGGGGCCGGCCTGGGAGCGGGCAAGTCCGCCTGAAGGGGAGGCGGGGGCGAGGGCTTGGGCGGGGGGCGGGGAAGGGGCCGGACACGCTTGCGCACACGGTCGGGAAGCCGACAGCCGCGAACGCCGTGCTGGAGGGAGGGCGCACCGAGGGAGGGAGGGTGCGGAGAAAGGAGGGAGCTAAGGCGGGAGGGAGGGCGCGCAGGAGGGAGGGCACGCCGAAGGAGGGAGGACAAGGAGAAAGGAGGGAGCTAAGGAGGGGACCGAAGAGGGAGGGCGGGAGCGTGAGGCCGCCAGGAGACTGGGGTTGGCGTGGAGGCCTCCGGGGCCTGGAGAGAGACGGCCGGGGTGCTGGAGGCTGGATCGGGTGAGGGCAAGCCCAGGGCAAGCACTGCCTGTGAGTGGCTCCAAGATGAGTATGCCCAACGTTTGCCTCTAGCACCGATCCCACGCTCTCCTGGAAACAATAACCAAGAAAGGCTTCTTTGCTGTCCCCCGCGCGGTTTAAAAAAAAAAGTACCCTTTTCTCTCTCTACAGAAACTGAAGTACAGAAGCGGGAGTCCATCCTTCCATGCCCTCATGGCTGTCAAGTGACCAAAATTCGCGAGCCTTTTCTCGGCCCCGGGCCCGCCGTGTGCGCCCCAAACTGCTCCCTCAGCACCCTCCCTTGCATACCCTGTCTTAGCCTCGGATAACTTCTCAGTTTCCGTTCTAGCTGAAGGCGCCAGGCATCCTGTCTCCAGGGGAAACCCCTGTCAAGCCTTTAACCCTGATTCCTTAGGCTCTAGAATTGCCTGGACTGAAGAACCATGCAGAAACCACCCAGCAGGTCTGTCCATTTCAGGAGTCAGCACAGTGTCACCCAGTTCCTAGCTTGAGCACCCTGGGGCAACAAGGAAAGTATTAGACCCAGTCCCCTTCCCCCGGAAGCTTACTATCTAGTTGCAGAGAAGGGGTGGGGTGGGGGGTGTTGTGCTGGACTCCCTTCAAGAATCAGGCGGCACAGGATGTGACTAAGTGTATCTGACAGTAAGCGCCCAGGGTTTTAAGGGAGTTTAAAGCCATCGTCAGGGGAAGCTGGAGGTCTCACGTGTTGGGAACATCCAATTCACAAGTTCTGCCCAGTAGAAACAAAACGAAGAGACGGCCTCCAGCTTCTTCCACTAGGAACTATTTCCACCTGAATTATACCTTGCATAGGTGGAAGCTCTTTGGCAGCTCGCCAAAGCCTCGTTTAATTTAAATGGTGCCTTTGGCCTGTCAGTCACCTACTCACTCAACAAATATTTATTACATATGTCCTGGTATGGAGCTAAGCTGGGAATAGAAAATACAATGACTGTGTCTCTGTTTGGCAAGGGGAAAAGAAGAAGGAAGATTCATATTTTCAAAAGAAAAACTGCCCCAGGAGAAAGAGCAGTTGAGATATGTCTGGCAAGTTGATCCAAGAAACAGTTGCCCAGCCTCTAAACCTGGCTAAGTCTTCACCAAACTAGGTACAAAGACATGTCCACACTTCTAGCTAAAGGTAAAAATCCTACCATAAAATTGAGCTTAAGAATCAGCTTTTTTGGGCTGGAGAGATGGCTCAGCGGTTAAGAGCACTGACTGCTCTTCTAGAGGTCCTGAGTTCAAATCCCAGCAACCACATGGTGGCTCACAACCACCCATAATGAGATTTAATGCCCTCTTCTGGTGTGTCTGAAGACAGCTACAGTGTACTCATAAATAAAATAAAAAAAAAAAACTTATAAAAAAAAAAAAAAAAGAATCAGCTTTTTTTCTCCTGGAAACCTGAGTTCAAATCCTGCTTCTGCCACTAAATAGCTTGCCTTTTCTTACTGGGGAAAAAAGACCAATGGAAATAACTGCGCTTATTGAAAGGGTATTATTAGTATTGAGTGAGACAATAGAGGTGAACTTGTCCTGAAATCACCGTCTGATACATATAACTATGGGTTCAGTAAACATGCACACAAATGCCTTTTAAACACATAAAATACATTCAGAGCCACAGAACCACAACCTCCCAGCCTATCCCAGTCCCAGTCATCCACTTTACTGTGTGTTTATGACTTTTCTCTTGCACTTTTCTCCTCCTTCCTCCAACCACTCCCCACCCCCCCCCCCTTTTAAAGACAATCTCACTAAGTAGCCCAGGCTGACCTGGAATTGTGATCCTCCTGCCTCAGCTTTTCTGAGAACCAAGATTACAGTGTCTTAATAGTACAGACAGAAGCTGAGCCAGCAACTTAGAAGCCCCTATATCCTCTGTGGAAGAGAGGGAAGCGGTTTTAGTATAAAGACAATCTTTCATCCTAGACTTCTGGGTTCTAGGTTCTTGTCAAGCCCACTATACCCCTTGACAGGACACTGCAAGTTGCTTACCATGAGTCAGGATGTAACAAACTGGGCTTTGGCCTCAAGGGACTATTCCTCTCCGAGGTGAGGTGAGGCAAGATAACCTTCAGAATAACAGCAGTAAGTCCTACTCAGCTAACAAGCAAACCACCTCCATCCCCATCCTTTTGCCTCCTGTTTTACCTTCACTGTTCTCCTAGGTAGATCTGGCAAGCACCTGATTGCTGGAACAACCACTGGAACCTTAAACAGAGGGAGGAGACAGAGGAGGAAGGGGTGTGAGAGGAGGCAGGTGTGTCTGGGCCAGGGAGCTCTGTCCCTGAGACTCCTGTTGGTCAGGCAGCTACCTGACAAATGTGCCTCCTCCCAGACATCTGGCTCCTGCCCCTCACATGTGCCACGTTCACATCCTGGAGGAAGGGACAGCAAGATGCCATTTGAGGAAGAAATAAACCCAATCCAGCATCTCAGGCGCTTTTAAAAATAGCAACCCCAGGATGGTATTTCAGCTCCTATTTTTATCAGATTTATAAGGCTGGACCGTGGCGTTGAACTGTTCTCAGGGATCTCAATAGCAGGAGACATCTCTATTGTAGTGGGGAAAACCTGCCAGGAGGCCAAGGCTAAAATGCATTCCAGGACCCTTCGGTTGGAAGAGATCCCAAGCATGTAACTCCTGCCTCTCTGTCGAGCCAAAATTGATTAACCACTGTTTGTGGCTTTTTTCCTTAAAATCTAAACTGGGTGTAGTGGAACATGGCTTCAATTCCAGTACTCGGAAGGCTGAGACAGGAGGATCATCAGGAGTACTGGGCCAACCTAACTTATAGACATTGTCTCAAAAACACCCGGGCACGGTGGTATAACACTAATACCATTGAGGCTACTGCTGTCATGATCTAATCACTTCCCAAGGGCCCTGGGTTTAATATTGTCTCCTGGGGTGTTAGAATATTAACATACAGAGGCTATAGCAAGTACCTAGTCCTCAAATCTTTCCTTTTAGATTACTCTCATAGCAGAAAAATAGCTAAAACTTACTAATAGCACTATGCTTAAAAATCTTTTTTAAAAAAATGTGTATAGATGTTTTGCCTGCACGTATGTCTGTGTACCATGTAAGAACCTGCTGACTGTGGAAGTCAGAAGAGAGCCCAGGATCCCCTGGAACCGGAGTTACAGATACTGTGAGCCGCCATGTCAGTGCGGGGAATCAAATCCAGGTACTCTGGAAGGGCAGCCAGTACTCCTAACCACCGAGCCATCTCCCCAGGCCCTTTAACAAATCCTCACAGACCCCTGAGAGTAAGCATGCCTGCCGTCCTTATTTTATGAACAAACCCCAAGTCACTCCAGTGTATACCTGTTTATGGTGTGGAGTCTTATGCCGGAGCCATCAGACTACCTTATGCCGGAGCCATCAGACTACCTTATGCCGGAGCCATCAGACTACTTCACCTCCCAAAGTAGATGAACAGACTAGAGGGACGAACTAGAGGAACAGAACATTACCCATTAGAGTTGGAGAGAGAGTCCAGTTGGCAAAGTACTTTAATCCAGGGAACCCATGACCTGTGGAACATGGTGCCACATATCTGTAATCCCAGCACTGGGGAGGCAAAGAGTTACTAGTGAAGATAAATTAAGATCTGCCCTCTTCCCCCCACCCATTCTCCCTTGAGGAAAAACACTGGAATGTAAATGGCAGAATACTTGCCTAGCAGGCATGAAGCCATGGGAGTTCAATTCTTTGAGCTGTAAAAAAATAAAATCTATAGTATTATACTGTCACAGTATTAGTGTTGATTGATAGATACAGATATAGATATATTGGGCTAGAAAGATGGCTCAGCAATTAAGAACACTCTATGTAACTACAGTTTCAGGGGAGCTGGTATCTCTCTCGGCCCCTATGATCACTGCGCATACATGGTACACAGACAGACAGACAGGAAAAGCCCCCATAGAGAAAATACAAAATTTTAAAGGTATATATGAAAAATATTTTTTAAGTACAGAAGTTTTTCTTGATATTGCCTAATAAAGCAGAATAACAAGTATTTACATTGCACACTGTGAGTAATCTAGAGGTGACAGCATAAAGGAGGATTTGTGTTGACAATATAACCCCTGTGATATTTGAACATCCAGAGTTTGGGCCTTGGGCTGATGTGTCCTATAATCAAAATCCCCGGCACACCAAGGTAAAGACGATTCAAGTGTTCTAGATAAGGAACTATCACAAGAGAAACTGTTCTCAAATATTTGTGGTTCTTGTTTCTAAACTTAGAGCTCTTTATTCAACAGGGACACGAAAAATGGAGCTTGAGTATATTCTTTCTCTTGGCTTTGTGCTCACAGTGCTCCATGAGAGGGCTTTGGAGTACACAGAGAAGCTAAGGACACACAGCAGCCCTGCGTCCTTTGCTTCTCATCTCCAGCCAGGCCAGAAGAAAACAGCCAAGCACTAGAGGCTAAAAGCCATTTGTGAAGGTGTCCCTGATTTATCTGGGAAGGGTGACGTCTGCCATTACCCCAGCATGCATGTGAGGATCTCACTGGCAGAGCAGGGCTGGCATTTGCTCGGCTCAGGGTGGGCCGAGCGTAATGCATTCTGCTCAGGAAGCTTGGTCCCAGGAAGCAGGACATTGTACTCTGGAGTGACAGAGGGAGGAAAGACTGAGGCAGAGTTACCTCTGCCCTGATCTGAGAGCTCAGGCCCAGTTCCGTGCCTGTGTTCTACACATTTAGTGTGCATAGTTCCACAGGCCCTAGGACAGAAGTTTCCGCATCCTGGGGCTGACACTTGACCCTGTAATGAGACACTGTGCATCTGCTTATCTGTAAAAGAGTGTGCTCCCTGAAGTGATTTGTTATACAAATGTGATGGTCCCGATGTTGATTTGCCTTAAAACTCTGTTTTACCCAGTCAGAACCCCGGATGTGGGCAAGGTAGAATGGTAAGATGTCCTTACCTTTGCGGTCCTCTCAGTCCAAAAGGAAAGGCAACAAACCAACAGACACAGCAAGAACAAAAGAGGCCAAGTATGTGAAATCCCAGACAAGTCACATCTGTCAGTGAGGGTACCCCAAAAACACATAAAGGGATCTTATCACCATACTGCAGCCAGGGCGCCTGGCAGAAACCTCAGTGAACTGAGACACTGGGATGGGGTACTGGGGTCTAGGGGGAAAGGTGCCGTCATCTTTGAAGGATAGTGAAGAGAACTGGCTGACTCTGAAGGGACCCTTGCCAGACCTTAGGTAGAGGCTAGTCCTTCCAAGTATTAAAAAAACTTAAGCAGCAAGGCCTGGACGGGACCTCTCTGTGACAGCAGGTAAATAAGGCATGTCACTATCCCAAAGAGGCATCTCCTTGCAGAAAATGCCAAAAGCAAGATAGGATTGGTTAGCAGGAGTGGAGAGCCAGAAAGGTTATCCAGAGCACAGTTCTATGCCTTAGGGAGGAGGAATACTTGGCCTTCCCAGGCTTAATTACTACCCTTGCAATGATGACCCCATGACCTCGCTAACCTGTCTACATGAATAAGCAGACTGTTCTTTTTCCTGTAGGTTGTATATCCAGCCATCACTCCACCCCACCCAAACCAGACACAGTGAGATTATAGCATGTAACACAAAAGTCAGCCTGTGCAAGCCTGAACTCACAGGCAGCACAGTTGGCATGGGGAACAAAGGGCATATGATATGGTGGAGGGGTTGTGTTCTGGTGAGGCCTCATCTGACACTCAGCAGTGTATCTCACACCAACAATGCCTCCTGCTACCCCCTTCCCCCCCTCCCAGGCTCCAGAGCACATTTAGTGCCATTTGCTTTCAAAGAAGAGGTCACTTTTCTACCCTGGTACCTGGAAAAGGACCAAGTGAGATCCAGGAATCTGCCCTGCAAGCTGTATGCAGCTCTAAGAAAAGATCTCCATCAGCCTTCTCTCGGTAAACCCTCAGCATTGGCACATAACCCTGACCAGGAGAGCTTCTGCTTTCTGTTCAGGAAACCACTAGTTTTTGTGGCAGCCATGAACAGATGTGGCCTACACTTGTAACAGACACACCTGCTTTGGTTACCACCAGAATAACTGCAAGCCCACGTGGTAGCTGGGTATATACCTCAATGCTGGGGTGCTTGAATTGCAGAGAAGATTGGGTTAGGACAAGGGTAGCTTTACCATGC